TCTATCTCAGTCCCCCCAAGCACTGGCATCTACTGTGCCTAACTCTTTCTTGTTCTCACCCCCATTTACTTATTCTGTGTGTGCCGCCGTGTGCCCGTGGAGGTCAAGGCACAACTTGTGGGAGTTGGTTCTCTCCTATCATGTGGCTCCCAAGCACTGAACTTAGGTCATCAGGCATCAGGGGCAGCAAGCCCCTGTACCCACTGAGCCATCTTGTTGGCTCCCCATTTTTGAGATAGAGGCTCACCATGTATCCCAAGATGGCCTCAAACCCCAGCGGTCCTCCTGCCTCAGCTTCTGGAGTTCTTAGATTAAGGTGTGTCCGACTGTGCCATAGAAAAGGAAAGGCAATAGCAATGACCTTTTATTTTTTTTTGGTTGTTTTCTAATCTATCTGTCTGTCTATCTTTTTTTTCTCTTTTTTTTTTCTTTTTGGTTTTTTGAGACAAGGTTTCTCTGTGTAGCCTTGGCTAGAACTCGATCTGTAGACCAGGCTGGCCTCGAACTCAGAGACTCACCTGCCTCTGCCTCCTGAGTGCTGGGATTAAAGGCATGCGCCACCACCACCTGGCCAGCTTATTGCATTGATTCTAAGGAGAGCATCACTGTGTCACTGTGGTTCCTCTGCAGCACTAACTACCTTCTGGAATACTTCTTTCATGTGCTGTTTGCCTTGACTAGGCTGTAAATTCTCCAGAGGCCAGGGACCCGCCGCTGTGTCCCAGCCTTCTCCATGCTGCCTGTCACACTGTGATTTTTTTTTTAAACAAGTGGAGAGTTGATTGACAGACAGACAGACAGACAGACAGAAGTCATGCTGGGGAGCTGGAAAAGATGTCCGGTGAGCACCTTCATGGCAGGGTGAGAACCCACAAGGAACAGAGAAGATAGGAAAGAGGAAAAGCCAGGGAAATAAGCCAATCATAGGCTTGGGAGATGGGGGTAGGGGTGGAGGTGTGGGGTGGTGATGGGGTATAGAATCACTGAGGGCTTGCAAGCAGGGAAGGAACTGCTAAGACGCCGGGGGCTTCTGGTGTTCAAACAGTGCCTGCTTGGCACCTGTTTTCAGTTGGCAGTATTGCACAGGCTAACAGGGATGGGTGAGCAGACTGCACCCTGGGAAACACGCAGACCCAGAAAAACACATGCTAGACAGTGGCCTGTGTCATCAGTCCTATTTTTACAAGCTGCAAAAATAAAAAAATAAAAAATAAAAAATCAGAGAGGGCAAGGGGTTTAGCTAGGTCACACAGCAATAGAGAAAGTTGAAGCTGTGTCCCCACTCAACCTCTGTTGCTTCATCTTCTCTCTTGGGCTCTGCTACTCTGTGGGGGCCACGGCCTGGAACAGCATAGACACGTCGGGGAAACGGGACACCAAACACCTTGGGCAGGTTAGGTTCCAAGTGTTTGACCCAAGCCAGTGTCATGGTCTTTTGGAGCCTTGGTTTTGCCCTCTGAGAAATGGAAACGCTAGGGGCCATTGCCGTGGGTTTCTGTGATGGAGACTGGCAATCCTGTCAGGGCCGTTAGATGGGACTGGGGACACGGTGCATGCTCTGTAAACAGAAATAGGTCTGCAGCTGTCCCCCCCCCACCCCACATGGAGTGGAAAGTCTGACTCTCTTCCTCTACCCAGCAGCTGTGTTCTACAGTGATACACGCTGACCTCCCGTGAGACAGGACGGATCTTCCCACCCTGTGTGTCCCCCAGGCCCACCCTGCCAGCTGGCTCCCGGTCCCAGCATAGGGAGAGTGGAAAAACCCCTGGCCTGTCCCCACTGGCTGTGTGACTCAGGGCAGGTTGATCGCCTTCTCTGGGCCTTCCTCCTGGTCCCCCTCCAGTGAATTACATCACAAGACCAAGGAGTCCTTTGTCCCTCTGTACAAGGATCACACATCTAGCGTGTGACCTCGTACACCTGCGAGCCCAGGTGTCAGGTGGAACTCTGGCTGTCGGGTGGAGAAACTGAGGCTGGAAAGGTGAAAGTACTCCTGAGGGTCACTCAGCTGGGAGGTGGGACTGGAGAAGGGAGAAGGTGAGAGAAAGAGGACTCCGTGGGGGCGGGGCACAAAGAGCTGCAGAGGGAGACGCAGATCTCAGAACCCCAGAAAGGATGAGGAAGGTTGTAGCCATTTAACAAGGACGCACAGCCACCAGCACGAGCCCACCCCAGCCTGGTCTCAGGCCCACCCAGAGAGAAGGCAACATGAAGACATGGGAGGAGACACACCCTGATTCTGAGGGGTTGGACCTTGAGGGGAGCCAGCCTCACCGCCTCCTCGACCTTGGGTTTCTGGGCTTCAGAAGTGTGGGTCAGTGGATGAAGGAAAAGACTCAGCTGCAGAACTGGGGACAGGAAGGGATGTGAGGCGTCTCGGGGAGCAGCCTGGAATAGGCGGGGTGGGGGGAGCCGCCCCCCAACCCCAACCCCAGTCCATGGAGACACCTACATGTCTTTCCTAGTCTAGTTCACAACATGACAGGAACAGGGGTCATTTGTCTCACCCCCACCATCCACTCCCCTGGGGTCCACCCGTGCCTCATACTGAGCCAGGGGTATATATCTTGGGGCTCCTTGGAGAGGGAGGTCTGGTGGGGGGTCTCAACACAGACTTGTCAGGCAGGAGAAGGGGTTCAGTATGGCTTTATCATACTACTCAGGCAGGACAGTGTAGGATGTGCCTAATGATTAACATCCCCCAGGAGATGGCTTTCTTGTCCCCAAGGCCCTCTCTAGCTCAAGGACACTCTATGGCTCCTAGCTGCTGGTGGCACCAACTCCAAGGTCCCTTGAAGCTCCCCAATCTGGCTCCAAATCCCAATTTAGATAACCCCTCTCCCCATTCCACTAGGGAGGTTTTACTTCTGTATGCGGTTTCGAGAAGCTTCTAGATTTGTTCAGCCTCCACCCCTATCTACCTGCAATGCCCAGCCTGGGAAGCCCTTCCTCCTGCCAGGTATGGAACACCCCAGCTCCTCCCTGGATAAGCCGTGTCCTCTGAACTCCCTAAGAACAGCCTCTTCCCACGTGTTCTTCTCCATGGTGGCCTGTCCTGACTACCCACTCCCTCTGGATGATATGTCACCCTGTCCTAGCACCTCTGCAGACCTCTCCCTCTCCTCCCTTGACTGTTGTGTTTCTGTTCCCTGTGAGTGCATAGCGAGAGCTCAGTCCTCCTCGACTAGCTCAGCGCTGCGTGCTCACTCTCAGGGCACATGTGTGGAGACTGAAGGCAGGAAAAGCCGAGTGATTTACAGCGTGTCCTGAAGGAGCGGCTTCCAGCACTGTCCTCACTGACCTATGATGTGTGTGCAGAAATGCAGCCTACGACACGGCTCAGTGGACCAAGGGCGCCTGCCACCAAGCCTGATGACCTGAGTCTCGTGCCTGGGATCGGCACAGTAATCAAGAGAGCTGAGTTTCACAAGTTTCTTCTGGTCTCCACACACACCCTGTGGTGCACACACAGAGACAATGGACAGACTGACACAACACACACACACACACACACACACACACACACACACACCCTGTGGCAAGTGCAGCTTTAAAGTATATGCAGAAATGACCTCAAATTTCAGAGAATAGTGTGTGTGTGTGTGTGTACATCATGTGTGTTGGTACCTGCAAAGGTCAGGAAAAGCAGCCAGTGCTCTCCAGTCCCCTCCCCACCCCCACCCCACCCCTGGCACTTGCAAGCTGATGGATCTGCCTCAGTAGCTGTCCAGTGAGCCCCAGGATTACAGGGGCGCACTGCTCTGCTGGGTTTTATGCTCGGTAACTAAACTCAGGCCCTCATGCCTACACCCTGGTATCTTTAGCCTCCAGGTTCACAGGACACTTACAACCCCGTCCATCTGTCCGCCCCTGTCCAGTTAGGTCTCAGCCTACTCTTTCTTATTATAGGACAATATCATGGCGGAGACCCCAAGGCTCACCACTGGGAACACAAGCAGAGTTGCTTCTGTGTTCTCCTCCTCTTGGGGACCCCCACTAGCTCCAGCCCTGGTCTCTTCTTCACGTTCTGCTCTGGCTGTGGGTGTACCTCCCACACCTTCCAGGATGCTCCTGAGTCCAGAGTGGGTCTCACAGCAGCTCACTGGGGCCCTGTCCTGTGGCCTGTTGCACTAAACCCTGGGATGGATTCCCAAACTGGATTTTGGTCTTCGGTCTTTAGTGAGGTCCTACCGGGAAAAGATCCCCCAAAACGGTGACTCTGGTTGAAGCCAGAGATTGGCCAGCCTCCATGCCAGGTCACCTGAGTCCCTGGAGCCCAGTTTAGAAAGTGACATTAAGAATCCAAAGTGATTGGTGATGTTTCTCTAGAGAAAATTGCTTCAACCCTCAAGGTTACTGTGGCCTGGAGCAGATGAGACTCCTATGTCCCCGGACTTCTTTCTCTTTTTGGGAAGGAAAGATGGCTCAGATGGTAAAGGGGCTTGTCACTACGCCTGACATCCTGAGTTCGATTCCCTGCCCCACCAGTAAATGAAAAACTAAAACACAATTTCCATCACTGGCTCTGTTGGTCTGGGATGAACAGCTGCTCTCCTAGGTAATGGGCAGAAGGTACCTCTCTTTTATGGCCTCTCGAATCGTCTTGGGAGGTGTCACAAAATGACATTGAGAAAGCTTGGCAAATAAACCTATTGGGGCTCGGGAGATGGCTCAGTGGGTCAGTGCTTGTCACACAATGATGAAGGTGTAAATGGCACCCTCCCAGGAAGTCGCATGCGTGCATGCGCGGGTGTGCGTGCGTGTAAATAGCCAGACAATAGTAGTCACCGTCTCCCAGTGCCAGCGCTGTGGGAGGGGGCAGACAGGAGGATCCCAGGGGCTTGTTTGCTATCCAGCTTACACAGGTGGTGAGCTGGGATACCTTCCAGATGTGAATGGGATGATGACAGTCCCCGACTCATGGGGTCCTGCTGTCCAGCTTACTAACGTGCTGAGGTGGCCCTGGGTGCCCTTCCGGAGGAGGTGGGGGGCTTCTTACCCAGGTGGGATAGAGGCGCGTGCGCTGACGCTGGTGGATCTCTGTGGTCCTGGACGGCTGAGGTTGTTTTGGCCCGGGGTGGGCGCTCCGTTGGGGGCACTCGGGCTCCTTGGGGGAACTCCTGGAGGAGGCGCGGGCTCCGTGGGGCCGGCGGCAGGTGCGGCCCAGAGCGCGGCCCCAGCGAAAGTGGCGCTGGGGCGCACAACGAGCGCACCCGGAGGCCCTCCGGGTGACAGCGGCGGCGGGGGCGGCGGGGGCGCTGGAGGCGCGGCTGGAGCAATGGGCGCCTTGCGGCGCTGCGAGGCCAGGATGGCGTTGGAGGCGGCGCGCGTGCTGTTGACCAGCAGGCACTGCTGACAGGAGCAGGGCTGACCCGAGCTGGCTCCCACGGGCCAGGACTGCGACTTGGGAATAGAGCCGACCGTGAGCGGGTAAGCCAGGTCCAGGCGACGGCGCAGGCGGCGGCGGCGGCGCGTCTGGCGGTTCATCTGGGACATGCTGTTGAAGTAGATGAGGTAGCAGAAGCCGAGCGATGAGAGGTCGAGCCACGGGTGCTGCTTCTCGTACGCGTTCTGGATGGTGATGCAGATGTCCATGTCGTAGGCGGTCCACGCCCCGCCGTCGTTCTCCCATTCCCACACGATGCCCTTGCCCGGCGCCGACGACGGGTCGTAGAAGTTGCGTCGCACTGGCCGCATGGTACCTGTGCTCAGGAGGGAGAAGTGTGTCAGTACAGGCCCTCAAGGGGACCTTCGGAGCCAGGAAGGGGGTTAGCACAGACAGAGAGTGTTAAGACATGAGGACTGGGCCGCCGATACGGCTCAGCAGGTACAGGTGCTTGCCACCAAACCTGACGACATGATTCTAATCCCAGAGACCCACACCATGGAAGGAGAGAACCGGTTCCCTCAGGTTGTGCTGACCTTCAGTAAACTAATAAATAAAGGCAATTAAAATTTAAAAGACAAGGGGGCTGGGCAGAAGCCCAGTCAGCATGCTAGGAAACAGGTACCCCAAAGGGGCCATAAAGAAGACCAAGCAGGAAAGAGGGAGGAATGGGCCTGGGGAGCCAGTTCGCCCTTTGCAGGGTCAAGGCGCTCCCCTCGCCCAGAAGGTCCGGGTAACCACAGAGGCGGGAAGAACAGCGAAGTTGGTAGTGGCCACACAGAGATAGGCCCACCTGCCCACCGAGCTCCTTCCTGGACTCCCAGGGTGCCCAGAAACCGGAACATTTGTGGATTTCTTCATTCACGGAGGGTCCACCGGCTTCCACACTTCTCCCATTGGTCCATTCATTCGGTTCCGCCTTCGTGCATCTCTCACTTCATTCATTCATTCATTCATTCATTCAGCCACACCTCCATTCATTCATTCATTCATTCATTCATTCATTCATTCATCTCTCACTTCATTCTTCCTTTCAGCCATGCCTTCTTGTGTACGTTCACGCCCAAATGTACCCTTTCTCCTTCCCTCTGATGTTTTCTCCCTCCCCGTGCTCCCCTCACCCCCTCCCGTGTGTATGCGTTCGTGCGTGTGTGCCAGTGTGTGTGTGTGTTCCAGCTCTCAACCAACAGGTGCTGAGTATCTGCTGTGCTCCTGGAGAGCACATCCAGACCCCACACAGCTCTGTGGTATCCCGGCCTGCCCTGCGGTTGGCCACTACTGTGGTTTCTCTTGCCTTTGCTCTGCACTGGTTGAAGCTTTAACCCCTCTGGCTGAGAGTCGAGATCCCGAGAAAACCGGCCAGTGACAGATAAAGCAGGCTGCAGGACTCCTCAGAGCGTTAGCTGGCTCTGGGCTGCCTATCCCAGGTGCCACAGCACAGAAATTACTCTCCTGGACTCGTAAGGCTGGCCACACCCGTGGATAGGCTGCCACCGGCTACAAAGCCGTGTGAGAGCCCTCATGCTTCCCCAGGCCTCTGTGGTTCAGACAACAGTTATTGAGCGCCTGACCAGTATTGATCATCAACTGGACAGGGCCTACTATCCATCACCTAGAAGCCAAACCTCTGCCTGCGCGTGTCTGGGAGGGAGTTTCTGAACTGGGTTAGTAGAGATGAGAGATCTACCTTGGATGTAAGTGGTAACATCTCTGTGGGCTAGGGTCCTGGATTGCAGTAAAAAAAAAAAAAAAACAGAGAAAGGGGGCTGAGAAATGGCATCTGTCTCTCTCTGCTTCCTGACTGTGGATGTCACATGACTGGGCACCTGCTGTAATGCTTTCCTGCCACAGCAGACTGTGCCCCCCTCGAACTGTGAGTCAAAATAAACATTGATTTTTTTTTTGCCAGGCATTGTTGTCACCGCAATGAGACAAAGGATTAATAAACTGGCCTCATCTTGACATCTGGCCCAACATGTCCACTGGGAGGACTTGAGGATAGCCTTTCTAGCACAGTCTTCTGGAGGCCCCAGCGGAATGAGGAGCAGAAAGCCCTTATCTGGAGTTCTTGCGGCTGTGGGGAGGAGCCTGCTTTGACTCCTCCCAAACTTGTTGCCATTGGCTCCACCCTCTCTCCTGTGACCAAGTGGACCAATCAAGTTGCCTCTTTGACAGCTCTGTTGCCCGATCCCCTGCTCCTCTGAGCCATTGTGCCTCCTTGGCTTGGCTCACAGCAGTAGACCCAGGCTCTGGTCCCCACCTGGCATCCAGGATATCCTGCCCAGCCCTCGTCACATCTATCCTCACGAAGCTCAGAGTCCTCTGCAGTTCCTGATGACCTGTAAGAGCTGACGTCCTCATGATGACCTGGCCTCCCCGCTGCTCGCTAGCCCATCTTAAACCTAGTGTTGCCTCCGGGGCCTTTGCACGGCTGTTCCTTGTGCCTGGATTATGATTTAGCCACGTTCAGACTTCTTTAATCCAGGTTTGTATGGATGTCATGGGCTAGGAAAGCCCCTCCCACACCTGGCTGGTGGATGAGCTGTTCTGTCCCTGCTTTGTCATACCCCACTTCCTGGTACTTACTCATCCTGGCCATGGCAGGCTCTTTTCCTGTCAGCTTAGGCCCACAGAGGCTCCTCTGCTTAACCCTCCAGTCTGGGCACAGTGCCTCACACAGTAGGTCCTCAGAACATGAGTTGTTTCCAGGGTGCCTTGAGCAGGAGCCTACAGCCAGATGGTGGCACCCGGCATAGTGTCCTGGTGGGAGGGGTCTCCTCCTGACTGATGTGTTTATAAAAAGATAAAGAGATATAGGGTATGTTCTATGGGTGTGTAGTCAGGTATGGGGGAAGGGGATGTCTCAGCAGGCTCATGCCGAGGCATCCCCCCAACTCCCGAGGGACCGGCCACATGACGGTATAGTATAGAATAGAGTTTATTCAGGGCATGGGGAGGGGAGTTAAGAGGGTGGTAGAGGCAGAGAAAGGCAGAGAGAGAGAGAGAGAGAGAGAGAGAGAGAGAGAGAGAGAGA